GCCAGGCCCACCGCCGCGTCGCCTGGGAAGGTCCCTCACCCGGGGCTCCCTCCCCACCCGGCCCTAGAGAAGCCCGGGATCTGGGTCTGTTCTCGGAGCCAGGGAGGGAGCAGCCGCCCACGTTCAGTTTCTACGCTCGCCAGCCAGGCCATCTCATGGATGGATGGATGGATGGATGGATGGATGGATGGATGGACGGACGGATGGATGGACGGCGACACCCACCCCAAAACGCTTAGGTGCTGCCACTGATCCCGGCCCAAAGCAGCACGTTTGACCCTGTTTTGGTGAGGAACCGATTAGGTGTTTGGTAAATGCGTGCCTCCCACACGCACAGGCGCACGGAGCCGCGCCCGCCACGGGAGAACCCGGATGCGGGTGGACAGAGGAGGTCGTCGGGATGCTCCCGACCCCCCAGAGCCAGGTTCCGGGTTCGCACGCATTGACACCCGGAGTCTCTGGAACGGTGCTCCCCGAATCTGGCGGTTTAGGGGTCCCCAGCCCAACGTGAAGCCCTGCGTGGGGACGAGGGTGTAGATGGCGCGGGCGGGGCGCTCCTGCAAAGACAGGGCACCCAGAGGGCACCCGAGTCCACCCGGCCCATCACTAAACCAGCTGCGGGCTTTTTTTTCTTTTTAAAAAATATATTTTTTATTGATTTCAGAGAGGAAGGGAGAGAGAGAGAGAGAAACATCAATGATGAGAGAGAATCATGGATGGGCTGCCTCCTGCACGCCCCCCACTGGGGACCCAGCCCCCGCCCCATGTGCCCTGATCAGAATGAACCCTGACCTCCTGGTTCATAGGTCGCCACTCAACCACTGAGCCATGCCAACTGGGGGGGGAGGGGAGATTTTTAAAAAGCCCTTCCCTTCCTGGCTCCCAAAATAGAGGGGCCTAGTGTGGCTTCTGGGGGGGGGGGTGCGTGCCGTCTCCCTGCTGGGGGGCCTGCAGGGGGTGAGAATGTCCCCACCGCAACACGCCCCCCCCCCCCAGTTCCCATAGGGGTTTCTGTGCTGGAAACAGCCTGTGGCCAGGCACCTGCAGCCCGTCCCCCTGATGGATGGCGCCCAGCGGCAGGGGTCTCGGAAACCGTGAAAGCTGTCCCTAAGCGTCCACGTGCGGTGGGCACACGCCCCGCGAGAAAGCTGAACGTGTGCTTTACAGCGTGTGAACGCGGTGTAGCCACCCTCTGGCAGGAGGCCCGGTCGTGTGGCCACATTGTTTACTGTGGGAGCCCCCCGCTCACAGACGTGTGGTTTGCAAGCATCTCCCCAGAACCACAGAGGACCGCAGACCCTGAATGTGACCCAGTGAGATGGCCCCACCGCCACCCACCCCACCATCCCCAGCAAGTGGGCGGGGGGGGTCCTGCTGTGGGGCTGGGAAGGCCTGACATTTTCCCAAGGAAGGTCACACCAGTCCTGGCTTCCTGGGCGGCCACCCCTGCCCCCCCCTGCCCCTGCCAGGCAGTGACCTGGGGAAGAGCCCCCCCTGGAGGGGGTCCCCCTAAGTCATGTCCATCTGCCAAGGGGCTTTCTCAGAACACTGCGGCCGGGCTCCTTGTCAGAATGAATGTCCTTCCCTCCTCATGTCCCCGGAAGATGGCCTTTTCAGCCATTTCTCTCTCTTCTCCCTCCTGGAACCGAGGACAGAAGCCCCGTCCACCCTCACTCCACAATGGCTGCTCCCTGACCCAGGAATGGGAAGGAGATGGGCCCATAGACCTTTCTGGAAAGACGCCCGCCTCCCCCAGCGATCCCGCTGCTGGCCCCCTCCTCCTGTTGTCCTGGACGTAATTTCCAGAGGGGGAGCCTGGCCGGGGCACCAGCAGACACTGGGCACCCGGAATGCCAAGCGTGGGAAACATTTCTTATTTGACAGGGAGTGAGTCACAGGTCACCGTTGGTGGGGCCGTTAGAACCTCCCGGGGCTTCTTTGCGCTCGTTGTACAGCGTAGAAGGCCTTTCTTCTGGAGCTGACCGCGAGAGAAGGCGCAGAGCACTTAGTGGGGCCACAGGCAGAGACCAAGGCGGACCCGAGGATGTCCCAGAACCTTCAGATCCTGCTGGGAGACCTGGCTGAGGGTCCGCTCTGGGTAGAGCCAGCCCTCCAGGGGCGAGAGCTGCTTCCGGGGGGCAGGTGCTCAGAGGGGATGGTGCCCAGGGGCTGCCCAGCAGCGGATGGACCTGGTGGACGTGTGTAGAGAGACGCACCTGGGAAATGCGGACCCTTGGGGCAGAGAAGGAAGGCGCTTTAATCAAGAAATCCTCGTAAGCGGCCTGACCCCAGGCAGAGTGATTTAGCATTTCCACGGAGAGAACAGATGGAGGATGAGAGCCTTCTTGTCGCGGGAGGCCCTCCTTGGCCACTCAGATGCTGCGGGTACAGCTTTGCAGCCACCTCCCCGGAGGGAGCTGGAGATAGAAATACGATGACGAATGTCTCCGCTGGGCTGCTGGCCCCGCGGAGAAAAGAAGCCCAGAAGCCCCTGGGGAGCACGGAGGCCCCAGGAAAATCCGGGAGGTTCTGATGCCACCCGATTGCGCCTCTGCATTTAAGGGAACAGTCGCTAGTTTCTTCTTCAGCACATGTGTCTGATGAGGAGGGAGGCCAGCAGAAATCCACGGCCACTTTGGAAACACACCAACATTCCCTCGCTTTTTTTTCATTTTATTGATGTTCTTTTAATATATATATATATATATACACACTTATGATTAAATCAGTGCTCAAGCACTCAGAGAGAGAGAGAGAGCAATTCTGAATTGAGATGTGTGTGTTTTTTAAATAAGGTTGAACGAAATGGCAACCAGAGATGAAGTTGTTGTCAAACATAGAAACAGGAATTGAATTTCTTCTTTCTAGCTGGATCTTGAACGTTGACTTGACCATATGGGCACTGCAGGAGGAAGAAGACAAATTGTTAATGACTTCCTTAGCGACTGTCTTGAAAGAGTAAGCGCTGCCCATGGTGAACAAAGGGGACCGCGGACGGCGTGATAAAGGTCATTTGATCTTTCGGGTCCTGCAGAGCGAGAGGAGAATCCTGAGGAACCATCCTAATGAGGGTCCCAGAGTCCCTTCCTCCGAGCATCCTTCCGACTTGAAGGTTTTACAGTCAAAAGCTCACTCGCAGAAAAACCCCAAGTCCCCAGTTTATGCAGAGCTCGTATGCACGTCATTCGAAACAGACAATGGCGCAGGTGGGAACGCACATGAAAGCGAAGGCCTAACTTGTCAACGTTGGCCACGGCTGGCACGTGGACTCAGCGTCTCCTCCTTAATTAGAAAGTGGGTCAGCGAGAGGAAATAATGCTCTAAATCAGGGGTCCTCAAACTTTTTAAACAGGGGGCCAGTTCACTGTCCCTCAGACCGTTGGAGGGCCGGAGTAGAGTTTAAAAAAAAAACTATGAACAAATTCCTATGCACACTGCACATATCTTATTTTGAAGTAAAAAAACAAAACGGGAACAAATACAATATTTGTATTTGCACGTGGCCCACGGGCCGTAGTTTGAGGACCCCTGCTCTAAATCACACAGTCGGAGCGTCTGCAGACACAGGCTTACATTCTGATCTCCGTAGCCATGCACCCGGCGAGTGTGCTTTTGCAAAGTTACAGTGCAGAATCCATCCCCATGGTTTGGGGTAGTTTCATGGTTAAAGACAGAGCAGAAAAGTGACACAGAAAAAATGAGAAAGAGACAGAAGAGAAAGAGGAGGAAGGGGAAAAGGAGGAGGAAGAAGAAAAGGGAGGAGGAGGAGGAGCAGGAGGAAGGGGAAGAGGAGGAGGAAGGAGAAGGAGGAGCAGGAGGAGGAGGAGGAAAAAGGAAGGAAGGAAGGAAAGAAGGAACAAAGAGAGAAAAATCATTATCATTGAAGGGATTCCCACGCCTCAGTGCTGGCCAAGTCTCTATGTAGTCAGCTAACAGCTAATAATGAAAGAAAACGCTCTCTGGGCTCCGGCTTGCAATATCCCAGCTCCCTTTCCTGCCCTTTGTACTTACCCAGTGAGCGCGGCTCAGTTAAAGCCTCGTGAAAGGTTTCCTGAGCATAAAGAGCTCCCACGGACCGCCGCCCGCCCGGCCGTACAAGCGCCCGCTGGCCACGGCGCAATGTTACCCAACGCCATTAAGTTTAAAGGCCCTGAGTTGGTCCTCAGGCCTCATTGTCCTGGGCCGAGGGAGCTTGTGAAAAGCCCGCGGCAGGTCTATTTCGCGTTTTTATTTGACTTGTTGTTCAAATAACAGGCATTTATGAAGTTACAGAAGCACCGCCAGGGGCTGCCGGAACGCGAGGATCTGCCACTCACGTGTCTGCAGGCGGATCCGCAGCACCGGCCCCTCTGCAAGTGGGCGAGTCGCGTGAGCACCATGTAGCCGGTGGCCGGGTCCACGTAGGTCAGCTGCTTGGCCTGTAGAGTCGCGAAATAAAACCATACATTAGTCTCAATATTCGCCGTATCTCCTCATCTACCCTAAATCCTACTAACAAAACAACTGCCCAATTCCCTTAAAACAAGATTGCCCGGCCATGGTGGCTTAGTGGTTGAGCATCGACCTAGGAACCAGGAGGTCACGGTTCAGTTCTCAATCAGGCCACCTGCCCGGATTGCGGGCTCGATCCCCAGTGGGGGGCGTGCAGGAGGCAGCCGATCTATAATTCTCTCTCATCATGGATGTTTGTCTCTCTCTTGCTCTCCCTTCCTCTCTGAAATCATTTTTAAAAAATGTTCCTTTGCAAATCAAGTCGTTCCTTGAAACGTGACTGGGAAGGAGACTTGCTGTCCTCCTAACGCCGTCTGTCACTCTCTATCCCTCTCCCTTCCTCTCTGTAAAAAGTCAATAAAATATATTTAAAAAAATTATTATATATATATATTAAAAAAAAACCAAACAAACAAAAACCCCAATATGAACCTCTTCAAGCAATTTCAGGGCCCCTAGCAATCAAAGCGCAAACACATTCCAATGTGATGCAGGAGCCGACTTTGTGCAGCAGCAGGAGGAGGAAATACACAGCCGGGGAGAACGAGACGTTGATGGGGAAACAAGCAGGCCTCTATGCCCAGGGCCCCTGCAGCCACCGCTCAGGTATTTTTCACTCGGCTCCTCGGGAACAGGTTTAATAACAGGTGATTTCGGAGACTTGAAGAGCTTAAGAGGCTGCGAATGAACTTGCACTCAGAAGTCGCACTGGCGAGTTCAGGGCTGAAAATATGTAGACGGTGATTTAAAGGTACAGGAAAGGCGCTAATCGAAACCAACAGCGCCTAGAAAAGTACGGCCTGCGCCATTATTGAACACTCTTCGTTACCCCGTGATGTGGGGCCGCACTGAATACTTCACACTGTTTTCTTTTCAGGGTGTTATTAGTTCTGTTTTTACACAACCCCCCTCTCTCCACACATACAAAAACCTGGTATTGTTTGACCATATTAACGCTCAGTGCTTTCATGAGTTTGATCAAAAGCAACTTTGATTTTTCTTTTCTTTTTTTTGTTACTCCTCATCCGAGGATATTTTTTCCATGGATTTTTACAGAGAGTAGAAGGGAGGGGAAGAGACACAGAGAGAGACACATCAATTGGTGCCTCCCACTCCGAGGATATTTTTTCCATGGATTTTTACAGAGAGTAGAAGGGAGGGGAAGAGACACAGAGAGAGACACATCAATTGGTTGCCTCCCACATGCAACTCTGACTAGGGCCAGGGATCCAGCCTGCAGCCAAAGTACATGCCCTTGACCAGAATGGAACCCGGGACCCTTCAGTCCACAGACTGTCGCTCTGTCCACTGAGCCGAACCGGCCAGGGGCAAAAAGCAAGGTTTACGACGGCCCTTCAGATGCTCAGGAAGCTCGCTCTACCTACACTCAAACCCGTTTTCCAAACTGCCCCCGAGTGTGTGGTGTGAAGGCCAAGTCACCAATTCGGCCTCTTCCTTGGGTCTTAGCCACACAGATGACGTTCTTTAGCCTGAGACCTTGTAGAGGGACTTTCTCCTGCTCTTTCTACAGGACGCTGTCACCACCCCTAACTCTGCGGCACTCTCGTAGCCTGAGGTGTCAGAAAGCGAGAGGGAGAGAGAGGTGAGGGAGAGGGAGGCTGAGTTTTGACACTGGTGCTGACAAGCAATTGTCAAATCCCCCAAACAGAAGAACGAGGCTCAAGATTGCCGAGCAAGAACCTAAATGCCCACTGATGACCTCCTTGACGTTGTGCTCTGTGAAGAGTGGAGGGAAGGGGAGAAAGGATGGCAGCGGGACGTAGAATAAAGGTAAGCTCATGCTTTATCATTCACCATTAAAATCATCGCTTGGTAGGGTGTTTAACTGATCGTGCAGATCAACGCACGACATTGCTCCTGTGCCTTCCCGGCTCCTCTACCCCCTCCATCAACTCCTTCACACCCATCCCCCAACACATATACACACACAGACACACACATATACACATACTCACATACTCAGACACACACATACTCAGACACATACTCAGACACATACAGTCACACTCACATATACAAACACACACACACAGACACTCAGACGTGCAGATCAACGCACGACATTGCTCCTGTGCCTTCCCAGCTCCTCTACCCGCTCCATCAACTCCTTCACACCCATCCCCCAACACACATACACACACAGACACACACATATACAGACTCACACATATACACATACTCACACACACATATACACATACTCACACATATACACATACTCACACATATACACATACACATACACACACACACATACTCAGACACACACATACTTACATACACAGACACACACACACTCACAGACACATACTCAGACACATACAGTCACAGTCACATATACAGACACACACACACACTCAGACACATACTCACACACACTCATACAGACACACACAGAAAGACACACAATACACAGACACAGAAAGACACACAGAAACACATACACAGAAAGACAGGCACACAGACATACATACTCAGACACAGACACACATACTCAGATACACATACCCAGAAAGACAGACACAAAAAGGCACACTCATAACACACACACACACACACACAGGAGTGATGATGTTCAGCTCATGCACTGATCAGAAAGAGTAGCACTCAGGACAGACGGACAGACGCTAACTCTCAGCCCGACTGGCGGGGGCGGGAAGCCTGGGAGCTGTCAGACGCTGAGTCTGCACGGGCCCAGGTCCCCCGACCTCCCCTCCGCCTGGGACGCGCAGGCGCACGGGCGCCAAGGTCCCCAGGACTAGGCAGGAGGAGCCTCACCGCGCAGGCGCACCGACTC